GATAGAGAATTGTATTCTTCTTAGATGGGTGGAGAGAGTAACCTGAAGGACAGTTCATCTGCAGCACTGTGAGCTGAGCTGAGTGCTAGCTCAGAAGATTGTGTGTGAGGTCCGAACAGGGCAAGCCATGGAGAAACTTGATTGGAAGCCTGATGCCTTTTCCTTTTCTTAAAAGAAGCCACACAGTTTGGGTGATCACAGTTTGCTTTTAATGCTCTCGGTTGATTTTTCTTAACCCTTTGCCTATTACAATTTTCACAATTTAAAGTATTCCTAAACTGACTTTAACTGGGGGTGGAAGGAGGAGAACGTAAATGCATTATGTGCATTTGTCTATCCCACCTCTGCAACTAACAGAAGATTTAAATTGGTATACCTAAATACAAATCTGGCCTCCTCAGCTCCTTTTAAGCAAAGCAAAACCTGTCAAGTGGGCCCTATTCTGGGCACTTTGTAGTTGTAATTGGCCTGCAGACATGTGGAACTGTGAACGGGCTGAAGCCATGTTGTGGGAACAGAATCTTTCTCTAGACAGCTGATGTGGTGTGATGGATCTGCCTTAGAAGAGTGCTGGCATATAGAATTTTATGCTATATTTGTCATCAAAACAAATAATGCAAACTCACTTTGACTGTCCATTGCTGTTTCTGGAACTTCCCACCACTTGAAGAAGTAAAAATGAAAGCTTACCTCTTTAAGCTCTGCTTTTGTTTCTCAACCTCAGCGTCCTCATCAACAGCATATAGACTCTTCGGTCCTTCTCATGGAACTGGGGAAGTTAAACGCAAGGCAATGGACTGATTGCTGTGGCTCATAATACCTTAAGCAGAGAAGACTGCCTGTGTGGGGGAAAGACAACTGTGAAGTGGTGCGCATTAACAAAAGCTATTCTCACTCTCACAAAATGGAAGCTCAGAATTCTGCACTGAAACTGGCACCAGCCTTAAGAGAAATTAGTAAAAGTAGCTTTTAATAGAGATTATGATGAAATTGGGCATTATGACAACCCAGTGGTTGCCAGTGGAAGACAACATAGTGGAAAACAAAAGGCTGAGCCAAATGGACCGCTTGTGTGACACAGCACAGAAGTTCTTCAGGCTAGTTAGATAATTCCACAACTGAAGTTCATACCTGCAAAAGGCTTCCTGTAGATTCTCTTGGAACAGCTTCTGACCGTCCCTAGAAAACACTTTGCTTTACTTTTGGAAACAAATTTAGAGTTTTGCGTGAGATGCTAAGCAACCCTGTGAATAATCTATGTGGCATTAGTTTGTGGAATAACCCACAGTGTGCCAAATAAATGATTGAGTACCCTGTTTAGTTCTCTCCCTCCTTTTCCTTTGATCTTCCAGCTGGAAGATCAAGAGAGAAGGAAAGGGAGAAACTGTCCCTGCTCTAATTGCTACCTCTTTCTGTTTTTTGGAGCCTCACAATTGCACAATTGGGGTTGGAGAGGTTCATGACTCCAGAAGTGGTGCAGTTCTGTTTATAATATTTTGTTAGTGCTTCAAAGGTGTACAGCTGTGCACTTACGGCTGTCTGATATACAGAGTCTTGCCTGTGTTATGTCCTTGTAAGTTTCAGCAAAGAGAGTGAAGTAGAATAGGAAAAGCAACGGGAAATTGATATAGTGAGACTGCATGTAGGCTAATTTGGACACAGTTCCAAATGCCAGCTGTTTTTGATCACTTAACTTTTGTACCACAATCAAAATACTTTATCTCTTCACACTGTTGAGTGTTTTATGTACATCAGGTGGTAACAATGCCAATTAAATCAATTTTAATTCCAGGCTGTAACAGAAGGATATGGAAAAGTCAATGGGGTGAATACTTCTGCAAGAGACCTTGCATGTCTGGGAATCAGTGATTGTAGCTCCAAATTGTCACTTGAGCATCAGTGGAAGGGCTGTCATTGCAAGTCTGTGAAGAGCAGCAAGGGGTTTTTACTGTTCTTGTTCAGCAGAATTGGTCTCCCAAGTTTGGTAATCCTTTGTGAATCAAGCAACCCCTCAAACAAGCCATGAACACTCAAAGACTTGTTGCCCCTAAAGAAGCCGCCCTCTGGGAAATGGCCTGGTTTCAGACAATATGATAACCCAGCATGGCTATTTACTCATAATTAGTTGCCATGTCACCTAAACCCAATCTGTGTCATGATGTACAATCATCGTTAGGCACTGGAGCAAAGTCTGGACAAGCAATTCCTACATTGCCTTGGGTGTTTGTTCTGCAACACTCGAAAGTATGAGTTGACATGTAATAATCCCCTCATGCAATCAGTTTGGAATGTGTTCCTTGATCTTGAGATGAGCCCTGGGTAAGTGTCTGAGCAATTGACAGTAGTGCAGGTGAAACAGTGATATTAACATGCTGAGCTAATGACAGGGCTCAGTGAAACAGAGACCTGTGGCAAAGGCATTCCTGCTTGAGCTACTCCTAGTTATGTTTGCATGAATAGGATAATCTCCTAATCAGACTTTAAAGAGACAAAAAAGAAGAAAAATGGGTTCTTCTATATACAAGATTAGTAAATCCTTGCATTCCTCTCATTGGGTATGTATGTGTAGGACTTTTGCTGTCCTCACAACTGCTCCAGGGTGAGCTAAAATCCCACATGGCTTGCTTATTTTAGGTATGAATCCAGAAGATGAAAACAAATTCTAAAGCAATGCATCTGGAGATGCCTCACGGAACTAGAAATCCTGATCCCACCTTGTCTACTATTACACTTTCTTTCTGGTACTTTTATATGTGAACCATCTTTACTTTTCAGAGCTGCTGGCTCCTCACCATCATGGAGTCCAACTCTCTCTTAGAGTCCATGGCTCTGGAATATAGAGCCTCAACTGCAGCCTCCTCCATAGTAGAGCACAAATCCAACATAAAATCCTGCAATTTCTTAATTGGCCCTGCCATGCTTGATGAAGGTCTTTGTTCCAGCCTGAGCTTGGGCTACAGTTCAAAAAGAGAGACTCCAGTATTGTAAGATCCCCAGTCCAGAACTCGAGGGGGCCAGAACTTCATCTCCCTGATCTGTGGAGGCTGGGATTCATGCCCATTGTTGTAAGACTTCCTAGCAGAAGGAAAGCCCATTCAGGCATAACCCAAGAATGCAGCCAATGATCTTGAAAGAATAGGTTGGGTACCATGTTCTTTCCAAGTTTTCACAATTACAGAGAGAAAGTGAAAGCAAGAAAAAAGAGGAATTGCCCTACAATGCACAAGTCAAGGTGGTGACAGAGCTTAGCCACTGTTTCCATGAACAGAAGGTAAAGGGGCATTTCTCACTGCTTGGTCCTCCAGAAGAACTACCCACACTTCCCAGAATACACAAGAGTGGGTAACACTCTGTGACCTCATAAAAATAAAACAGAAAAATGACGTCTGTAAAGAGCCTTTCAGGATGATGAGAACAATTGTGTTACAGTTTGAAAACATTCCAGATTATAACCCGTTGCATGACCAATTCTAGGCATATTTACCCCAGAGTAAGTCTCATTTTGTTCAACAGAATTTACTACCAAGAAAGTATGCAGGGATTTCTAGGCTTTGTATCCATTCTGAGAAAGGCACTGAGAATGTAAGCAGTTCTAGGCTTACACCAAAGAAGAGGAAGTTCATGGATGGCCCTAATTCAAGAAAGGTAAAGCAAGCACAGGGCATTGATGTGGGAACCAAAAATCAAGGTATAAGGTTAGAAACTAAATCTGGTAAGAACCAGATGTTGACTCTACTTACTAGATTTTTATCCCCATTAGCCATAAGGCTTCCTTAGGTTCTGAACTATAAATCCCATCAACCTTCACCATTGGCTATACTGCCCAAGGCTGATGCATTTCCAGGGTAGTTTGCTGATGAAGAACAAGGCATCTAGCAGGAAACAGTCTGGGTTTGTATGACAAGACAGCTAACTGTGGCCTGTAGAACATGCTGGGTTGTCATATCATGAAAACAAAACCATTATAGGAAGCTACATTATATGTCAGCTTATTTGTCCATCCAGCCCAGTATTGTCAAGTGAAGTCTCAGTGGTGGCAGCTCTTCCATGTCACAGTCTGAGGTGTTTTCCAGTACTTGTTATTCTTTTAATGAAAGTTTCTGGGGCCTGTGCCTTCCACAGCTGGTCCCCTCCCATGTACCTTTTGTTTCTCCCGACTTTTTTCTTTTTGAAAACAAACATTTTAATCCTCCCACCAATAAACAAGCTTTTAAAAAGTAAATTTTAAACATCACATGCCTTCCTATTTTTTTATCAAGATGGTTCTTCCACCCTATCCTAGTCTCGCTTGCTACATTGCCCTAACCCTAACCCTAACCCTTTAGTGAAGACGAAGCACACGTGTGCATGGTGGCAGTGCAGAGCCAGTGGTGCAGTTCGGGTTGGACTCCCTCCCTCCCCAAAGTTCGCAGAGAGGGGCTGCGGGGGATTCTTGCAACATCCTGCCGCTGAAGTGAGCTTCAAATGCATGGGTTCAGAGTTTTTAAAATTTATTAAATCAGGAACAGCAAACTTCCTTAACGCATGAGGAACACAGAAGCAGGTGTAAAGCATGGACTAGGGGCTGGGGTGGGAAAGAGAAATGTTAGGTGTGCGCTTCACACGACCCTCTAAAAGCGCTCCCCCTTCTTCATAAGGCCTTGCCGCCGGGGGTCTAAAATAACGTAGCTGTCCCGCGGATGGGATGGGAGCGTATTTCGGCTGACAGGAGAGACAGACCCCGCGCTGCCGCTCAGCTGCCACCGAAGTGCCAGGGCAGGACTTCTGCGGAAGATGCTGACTCCCGCGGCCAAGAATTCCCGGCAGCTCGCCGGCCTGCCGGGACACACGCCCTAAGCAGCCCGCCCCGGGCGGCATCGCTCCTCGCAGACCCAAAGCCAGAGGAGGAGGGGCGGGGCGAGAACGCTGCGGCAGCCAATGGGTGAGCGAGGGAGGGGCCGTGGGCGGGGCGAGCCAGGAGCCGGGGGAAACTCCTGCGCCGGTCCGCGCGGCGTATTCTTCCACGAGCCGGGCTCCTGGAGCAGCAGCAGGACCAGGAGCAGGACCAGGACGCGAGGCGACGCGACGCGAGCCCCTCTTGCCTCCTCCCGCCCTCCGCGGCGCATGCGGTGAGTGCCGGAGCCTGTCAGAACGTCGTCCGCGGGTGACGGAGGGTCTAGGCAGCGGGTCTTGGTTATGCCAAGGGGGACGCCAGCATGAAGTGCCGCCCCCCGTTTCTCTCTCTCGGGGAATGGGAGGGGGTCCTTCTCATAGAAAGGCGCGCTCTTTCTCCTCTCCCCCACGCCCTCTCGCGTCCGCCTGGCCTTCTCGAAGCAGATGGGAACGGCTCGGGGACGAAGCCGGTGCTGCTCGCTGAGCCGGAGAGGAAGTTTGAGGTCGTCGAAACTTGGGGGAGCGAAGGCTGGAGCGCTTGCAGGGTTTTCCCAGAGTGGCCTGCTACTGAGGAGCAGTGAAGAGCGCTGGTCCGCTTTACTGGGCCGCATCTTGATTTTATGTATAAGGTAGAGCTCAGGGTGGTCTGCATAGGATGCTCCAGGCAGCGCTGACCATGCCCAGCCCGGCCACTGTATCTGGTGTGCTCAGGCTCGTGTCCTGCCGGCGCTTAATTATTCTTCTGTTCTGTTTAAACAAAAACTGACCCAATAAGAAGCCGTGGGCAGGACAGAAGGACGGAGGGAATTCCATTAGAACCACCAGACCCACTAGCCATTATAGCATGTGATCCAGAATTTATTTAAAATATGTATACTTTGTCCTTAATCCATATAGGATCTCAGGACAGTTTTCATAAAGATCCGTTATACTTAATGAGAACTTAACCACAGACTTCCCTAGGAAGTATCTCATGCCTTTCATTGTCTTTTCCATCCACAAAAGGCTTTCACTTCTGGTAAGACTAAGTTCTAAAAGCAGTGCCTGCAATTGTACTGATAATGAAACAAAGGCTACAGTCTAAGGGGAAGTGGGGTGGTGGTGGTGGAGCCTCTGCTTTGCATGCAGAAGCTCTTCTGTTCAGTCTCCAAATAGGACCTGAGTGGAAGAAATGATTCCCGGAACCACAGAGCTGCTGCCATCAGCAATACTGGGCAATGTGGAATCGTATTTGTTGATGGTTTTATGTCACTTGTTGAATACTGGTGGGCATATTACAGAGTTCTAGTATTCTCAGAGGATGGTCTGAATGTACTCAAGATATTAGGATTCTTTAAGTGTATGAATTTGGACCTTGCCCATCTTTGGGATACTTCCAAGATGGAGCTTTTTTGACTATTGCCCTGCCATTGTTTACGGGATTTTATAGGGGATCTGGATGTCATCTTCCACTTGCAAACCTCCAATGCTTTCCCATCAGTTCTTCCATCTTGTCCCTTGCTGCAGTTAATTCATTAAGAAAGAAAAAAACAGAATAGCTGCAGAGTGTTTTTGGAATGGTAATGCTGGGAGCAATCTTGATTGGAAGCTCTTTAAGACTTCAGAGGAAGCACTCTATATAAACGTGTGAGTGATGATAACATACCAGGTCTTTGGTCCCTTATAACATTACAGGACGTTCCAAACAAACCAACCAAATATAATCCGAGTTCCACTCTGCATTCTCACTCGGAGATAAGTCTGTAGGCTGCTCATCAGTATGATCATTCAGTTTTTCTTGAGTTGTCCTTCTTCACAGTAAGAAATTCATATAATTTAGACATGAAACACTATTTTAAGACCATTTTTATTGCAGTTACCCATTCTGCTTTAAAATAGAATTCTCTTCCTTACTTTCCCCCATTTCCATAGGTGAAATGTTGTCATAGAACTACTTACCTGATAAACAAGGTCAATTCTGGGCTGAAATTAGATGAATGTAGCACAATCCGCTACACATCTACAAAAAGTAGTATTTTCTCTGTTATTTCAGTAGTGTGCTTTCAACACAGATCCACTTTCACTTTGAATGCATGATTTGCCTGCACTTCAGAGTTGATCTTTCTTTTTTAGTGCAGTGTTTCTGCAGCTGGAGGACCCTCATGAGGATCTCTGAAAGAATCCCAGAAAGGCACTGGGTCTCTGAATGCCAGACCCCTGGTTTCCTCCGGCTGAACATTAAGTGGCCACTCTAAGATAGCTGTTGCAGGGCGGGTTGCTCCCCTCTGACACTGGAGAAGCCGCTCCTCACAACAGAGCTCTGACATCACAAGCATTCCATGTAGAGCTCCCAGACACTCTGCATGGGGAGGAACTGGGCACCAGGCTGGATCTGTGCAGGCAGGAGAAGCACTTGCTGGCTGTAGCAGCCTGGTGATGTGCGGTGAGGCATGTGGGATATACCCAATTAGGTACTAAGTTGGGCAGTGTGGGAAGAATTTATTAAAATGTGAAGTTTTATTAGTGTATAACTACTGACTGAATGAGCATGATGGGGAATTGTAGCAGGATGTATCAGTAAGCCAGAATTTCAGGTGTAGATGAATAACCCATCTTGGTCTTATGGAAAGCAAATGCATTGAAAAGAAATTCTGTATTAAATACTTCAGTACAACAGCAGACCATATAATACTTGCTAGTTCTCTATTCATTTCCTGTAAACTGTGGGAGAATAAGGAGAAAAGCTCATTGTGCAAACCTGGTGTTTCCATTGACTGCACCGCAGCTCCTGATGACTTCTCCCCTAAGAATGCAACTGGAATCCAAAACGTAACATGTCTTCATTGATGGCTACACCCTAATCCCACCTCAATGGAGTTCCAGAGTACATCTTCATGATTTCTCACAACAGAGTGTTTGCCCTTTGCTTTTATGAGATCAAGGGGTACACTGCTCTGGTACTGCTGTTTCAGGGAGGGTTGAACTTGCTCTCCTGTCTGACTTGAGAGAGGCCGCTCCTCACTGACAGGGGAAGGCAAGTCTTCTAGGTGCTGCATCCTCTAGGGCTCCTACAATGGACAGTGTGTTGGGTCCGCAACTCTGGCTGTGGAATGCAGTGAGTGGAAGGTGAATGTCCTCTGAGCTCCCAGATAGAGTCCCTCTGACAGAAAGGGCCTCCTGCAGCCTGATCCACCCATTCAGTATGGTCACCCAAGCTTCAGGGCCAGTGGTGCTTCAGAAGAGGATTTGGGGGTACAGGTTTGGGGCTCCATTCATCTGCATGAAGAGGAGGACCCCAAATGTAACAGGGCTGGCCTAGCTCACTTTAAAGAAAGTGAAGTCGCACGAAGTATCATATCAAGAGCCCCCTCTTCCTCAGAAGACTATCAGGTCCAGAACCTAAAATTGCCTTGGTGCACTGCAGCCTGAGAGAGCATGGAAGCGGGGTGGTGCTCAGGAGTTGCCAGGGAGAGGGTTAGGGAGAAATCACCTTCAGCCCACTCCCTTCTGTCCGTAAGTCTCTGGATCAAAAGCCATGTTTCTGTTTCATTTCACCACTTGAAACAACAATTAAGATTTTTAGTTTTCAATAAGACCTGGTTCCTCAAGGCACTTACAGTAGAAGCGAGGGATCCCTTTTTCCTCTTCTCTTCTTGTATTTTGCTTTGTGACTTCAGGGGCATTTTGTAACTGCAGTCAAGTGCTTCCCGAGTAGGTTTCTGAAAGCCCAGCTGTGATACCAGCATATTCTCCAGGAATCTAGAACTCTCTGCTTCCCATCTTCACTTTGTGGAAGAGGAAATGTCCTCAGAGGGCAAAGATTGCCCTTTTTATAGGCATAACTACAATGTGAAAGTATTCATAACCTTTTAATGTGCATTTGCAATGTAGCATTCTAAAAAGTTCCCTACTTCCAGACTATGTAACTAAAAGAACACAGAGGCTTCCCAGCACTGTTTCTGAGGGTGGACAGATTGCTCCCTTTCTATGTCAGCCTCCATAAACTTTCATCACTGTGTTTGCCAGGTATTCTAGTCGTTTATGGGCTCTACAACATACAGTAGAATCCTACGTTTGTCCAAGTAGAAGTAAACCCCACTGAATTCTATTGAGGGTTCAATTGGGATTGCACCCCGAAGGGTTTTTCAGGAAACACACATGATTTGGGACATTTGCTAATAAATCTAATGTGCTAGAAATCTTGTCACTGAAAGCTGCAGTGCTACTAAATTTACATATAGCATTTTTGAAAGCTTATAGCAAAATACTTCTTAGTAAGGCACACTGAACTCAATAGGGGTTATTTCTGTATAGGCATGTATATATTTGTGATATTAATAGTTTAAAAACCAATTGCAATGGTACATCTTCTCTTCATGAAAAATACTTATTAAAAAGTAATCTGTTCTAATTATGGGGAAACTTTCCTGTAAAAACCACACACATTTAATATTTCTAGATAAAATCTTTGAGAATATTTTCTCTGGAAGGAAAGAATAGGTCAGAATTAGTACTGTAGCTCTTGCTTTGACTATAGACATGGCATTATCTTATGTTCTATGAATTATCTTTTTGTAAATTGTCAACACCTACATCTTGGTGACTTATTCGTGGTTGCATGAATATGCAAAATATACCTCATGGAAGATGTGTTGTATAAACAAGGGAACAATAATCTGAGAAACCCCGGGAATTTGTGATTGGTAATTACAGACACCTGCTGTTAGTACTCAGGTAATACCCTTTGTTTCATAATGCAACAGGCACCCGTGAGTCTTGCAGTCATGAGGTTTGCAGTCATTTAATAGCATGTGCCCTGTAGGGATAATGTGGTAAGCAGGCAACCTGTTCTAGTATTGAGATGTGTTATGCAGCGTTGCTGCTTAGTAATCTTTTGCAGCATGCTTTGCCTTTTTGCTGTTATGAGTCAACCAGGACTTAACGTGGAAATTTAGAAGAGGTGTCTTATGACTTCCATGACGCCAGTCATGCATGTGGGTTTCGGGATTACTAAAATAAATTGATTATAAGACTTTGACACGTAACTAAGAATCAGTAAGGTGGGACACTTGCTTTTTATTTTTTCTTTCATTAAGTGTTTTAGGGTATACCAGCATATGCATAATTTGACTACTGCCTGTGGAAGAGCTACTTATCTGAAAATCTTCCTTATCCAAATTATGGATTTAAAGGATTATCCAACTCCTTTAAATATTCAAGTATTCAAATCGTTATCATGTACAAACATCACATATCC